GAAAATCACCGCCACCCACGTTCAAAACCCTAACCCTAGGCGCCGCCTTCCGATCGCCCTAGCGATCGCCTCTCGGTCGCCCCTTAGAGAAAGACGTGGTGGACCCGCTGGATACCCTTCATGACCCGTCTTGATGTGGCACCTCCTACATTGGAAACATATCAACGCCTAGGACACCATTCGAGCCAGGCCACACTGACGCAACGCGCCCCGACCCCAAGGCCCTCCGGGCCGCCGCCGCCTGCAGCTCCATGCCTCTGCCACGCGTGCCGTCACGCAGATCTGGAGGCACACCTCTCCACGGCCCAGCGCCCCGCGCCGCATGCTGACCGCACCGACCCACGCGCCCGCGCTTCGCAGCAGGCTCTCCCGCCGGCGCCCTGAACCGCCCCTGCTTCGCCCAGGCTCGCGCTCATCCCCTGCTCGCGCTCATCCTTTGGGAGCTGCAGTTCCCAATCGAAGCAGCAGCAGCAGCAGCTCCTTTTCGAGCTGCCATCCTCAATCGAAGGAATCAAGCGGCTCCTCTCCGAGTCTCGGTTCGCAATCCAAGCGGCTCCTTTTTTTAGCGGCAATCCGGAATCAAAGCAGTCCTTCCCGGGCTGCAATCAGAAACAGGTCCTGTTTCAGTTTTAATATAAGTCTCCGAGCTGCTGCTATAAATCTGGTCTGGCGGCAACCCTAGTACTCCCTTGGGCGGCCGACTGCCAGATCGATGGCCAAACCATCCGTGGACGGCCTCGGCAAATCCTCCCTCGATATGGTGGTCAGTCTGTCCTCCTGTTCCTTTTTTTCCCTTTATTAGGTGGAGCTCTTACAAAGTTAGCGCATGATCAGAATTCGTCGTCGAATTTGACCTTTTTGGTTGGAAAATATATCAAAATTGCCTCAGTCCCTTGAAAGTATATAGTCAAATTTGTGGGGCTTTTTTGTCCAAAGTATAAAAACTGTATAATCAAAATTGCATCCTTTTGTGGGCAAGTACAAAAATTGTACAATCAAAATTGCGTCTTTCTTCAGGAAGTATGAAAATTGTGTCTGTTTGTGGAGAATATTAAAATTGCACCTGTGATGAGACTAATATAAGAAATCAACTATGATTTGTTTCCATATCAAATGTAGGAGGACGATGAAGTTGACAGGCTCAGTAAGTTGCCCGATGACGTTTTGCTCAACATTGTGGAGCGACTTGATATCGCTGATGCTGCACGAGCCACCATCCTCTCCAGACGCTGGAAGCAGATCCCTGCTATACTCTCAAAGATTGTTATAATGGTTGCTTCTTTTCAACCCAAGCATGAAGGTGGGAAGTTAACCTCGGATGATATAGTTCGGGCCAACACCAACGTGCTGGAAGCAACGAGGAGCATACTGGAAAAGAGGGCCGGAAGTCCACACACCATTCACCTGCTGCGCATGCAATTCTACTTGGGAGACGAGTCCATTTTCATTGGTCGGACTGTTGCCAACACCATAGCAACACACAAGGTTGCTTCAGTTGAGTTTACAATCTTGACCAAGGTGCGCACAAATTTTACCAATAATAACCTGCTCACTCATGGGAGGCAGTTCATGTCATTCCTTGATTCGTGTCCAAACGCATTTGGTGGTCTTGCACGCCTCACGCTAGAGAATTTGAGGTTAGGAGAATCAGACTTTCCCAAAATTTTCAGTATATGCAAGCAACTCGAGGTCCTCTGCCTCTACCACTGTGATATGGGCATTGAGTCTTTGCTGGAAGTGGAACACTCACAACTCAGTGAACTGGTGATTGGCCGTAGCGTGCTTATTAAGAGGGTTGATCTGAAGTGGGTACCAAAACTCACAGTACTGAAATTTAATATGTTTCGATCTCAAGATGACCCCTTCTGTCTTGGCTATGTCCCACTTCTCCAGACTGTGAGCATCATTAATACTGGTTTTTCTTGGCACAAGATGCTCAAGATAAGTGAGTTGCTGGGTGAAACCGCCATAAGCAACCTGCATTTGAACTTCAAAAGTGAAAAGGTTAGTGAAGGTTCTCAATGTTGTCAGTGATGTGCGTAAGTTTTGGTGTCTGTTGTGGGTGGAGGTTATAATCATTCTTTTTGGTTAACATAGTTCTGCGTTTCCCCACTCTTGTGCAGATTTGGGTCAAGCCGGAAGGTCGAAGACAATTGTTACCAGTGTTACACAAGCTAAGGCTTGTGAATTTGATTAACATTTCTGAAGAATGCGATCTGAGTAGAGTGGGAACCATCTGCATCTGATTTCAAGCACCACAACCTTGCCGAACTCAGAATCTATGGGAGGTTTGAAGCAGAAGAAAATATCGTGCGCTTTGCCAGGAATGTGATGGAAGCAGCGGTGAATCTCGAGGACATACAACTTTATAAGAGTCCAGTGTGTGAGAATTGCAAACACATGCTCCAGGAGTGGACGTTGAAGGAGAAGTCGTTGCTTAGCTACAAACTCAGCAAGGGGATGCTGTCTTCGCTCGTCCGGATTCAGTTCCCAAGTTTAGGGGAAATTTTTACTTGGCCAAAGTACTGGTCTTGAGCTGCAAGCTGCGTTTTTTTTTTGAGGGGTTGCAAGCTGCAGTTGACAGGAGTTGTTGTATGCATCGATTAATCGTCACTAGTCAACCTTTTAAATTATTTCTGTTTTGAGATTGTACTGAGTCGAGGAGGATAAGGAGTAACTCTTGACATTAGTGTGAAGTATTTTGGCAAATGAAAGTTTCGGATGTGTTATTCGTGGCAAATGCTTGCACCTTGTTTTTGTTGTGTAATCCCTAAGATTGATGAGGACATAGACATGGAGCTGGTTAAGGCCTTGTATAATGCAAGGTGCTTGGAGAAATAAACCAGGCTTTCCTTAAGCACCGTGTACAAAGCAGACGCTTAATTAGGCGTCTCTTCGATAGAAATAAGCACCGGTGCTTCAGAAAAACCTGATTTATTTTTGTAAGCACCTATCTAAGCACCTAGCATTGTACAAGGCCTAACACTTGCCCCAAACCTCTATTCGCGATACAAACAAAAATTACCCCAAACCTCCGTCTGCAATACAAACATTTTTTTTACCACAAACCTCCGTCTGCAATACAAATAAAAATTAAACCAGCCGAACAAATATCATGCAGACATACATAAAATCCAATATGAGTTACATAAACTGGACAGTATTTCGTCTGTTGAACTAAAACTTAAAAAACCTAAAGCAGACGTATTCATGCAACATATAAAATTTGAGATAATTTACATGAACCGAGCGATATTTCGTCCGTTCAACTAAAACTTACCAAAAACCTAAACTAATTTGTAGCGGACGGTGAACCTCGTATTCCTGGGCGGCAGGACCTCCGTCGCCGTCTTTGCCATTGTCGGAGTCAGAGTCGCCGTCGAGGCCTTTCCAGTGGCAGAAGGGCGCGGGGGCACGATAACCTTGCCCGGTCGCCGCCTGACGCTCGTGGAGGAGCTGCTCGGCCTCCTCCTACACCTTGCGCAGGTCCACGTCGGCCAATGCCGACCCTGACCGGGGAGCCCTGCCCTTCCCCTTGCCGGTAGCGAGGTGGTGTCGCTTAGCGATGATTTCTCCTCGATCTTGGCGAGCTCCCGTCGAGGCGTGCAAGCGCTGCACGGACGTCTCCGTTGTGGTGACGGGCCGGTCTCGGGCCCATGCCTCCACTAGGCCGGGGTCCGCACAAACCCAGGCCGGCGCGATGTCGGACTTCGCGGACGCTGCACCCTCCGCGCGGGCTCCCTGGCGGCCCCTCGCCCGCCAGTGTTGTCCTCTGCAACGACAAGCCGCTGCCGTGACGACCAAGATAGTCAAGGAGGCACCCGCGCACCTTCGCGATGGGCACCTCGTCATGTTGGAATATTAGGCAAATTCATGATCAATTTCATTAAATAATTCATGACTAGAACAGAGACTAACATGCAAACTAGATGAACAACAAAACATGCAGAGCACAACAACTTCACATAGAGACATAAACAGATCACGAAGGATGCACGGTTTGTTAGTTGCTGTAGGAGCGACGGTGTTGATACGATGTTGACGGCGATGGAGACGACGATGAGTAGCACCGCCTGACTTAGACGAAAGATGACCCGTGATGATGAACTTGAGCAGTCGCGCAGAGCGCTTCTCAAAAACCCAATTCATCATCTCCCGGATCGCAAAGACAAATGGTTTGATCTCTAAGTCGTATACTTACCAGACAAGAAATAATTAATTTATCTGCCAAGGCATAAATAATAAAACGGCAAAAAGGAAGCCGCGTCCCTGCAAGCCAACGGACCGGATTTCGGCGGACCATTCGCGCACGTACGCGCCGCCCCGAGCCCGGCCAGGCGAGCGCGTGTGTGTGGTCTTCCCTTTCTCTTCTCAACACATCACTTAGAGTGGTGGAGAGAACCCACTATATAAAGAAGTCCAACTATTCCTCAACTTTTCAGGGTGAGACTAAACTTAGAGCCACCACTTGCTATTTTATTCATGGGCCACTATTTGAGATTTCATAATTTGTTAATGAGCTAGGCCCATTATTTCTAACACCTCCTTCACGGCCTTGTTGCACCAAACGCGGCGTGAAGTGACGTCGGCTGGTTGATGCGGTTGTACCGGTTGTCCAATTTGACGTCGCTGTTGTGCTGGGGGAGGGAGGCTCCTGCTTGACGCACCAGAGAGGCGGTGATGCCAGCTCCGCCTTGGGACGATGGGGAGGCGGTGCCAGACGGTGATCCTTGAGCGACCGCTCAATGAGGAGGTGCGGCTGGTACTCCTCCTTCGCGGCGGCCCCCGCAAGGAAGTGCAGTTGCTGCTCCTCCTATTGGGAGGAGAGGATGATCTTCTCCTTCGTGGAGAACGATGGCCCCGGAGAGCTATGGCGACGGGGCCATGATCCGTATTTGGAAGAAAATCTGGAGTCAACCGCCAACACGGAGAACCAGGACTTGGTCATCGTCGCGGAGAAGAAAGGAGCTATGACGGTGGCGAGCTAAGAGAAAGGGAGCGGCGGTGAGCGGAGAGGAAAGGATAGGAGATGAGCGGAGAGGAAAGGATAGGAGATGTGATTTGGACGGCGCTGGAGCCGTGCTTAAATAGCCGAGCCAAGTGAGTGGACGGGAAGTCGGCTTCAATGTGGTGCACCGGCCGAAATAGACTTCTCGGTTGTCGCGTCGATGTTAAAGCGGCATCACTCGCTCATTCCGTTGCGTCACTCTAAATTGCATCAATGTCGCGTCCGCTCTAGAGTGGCTTGACTGACATGAATGTGTGACGCCCCTTTCATGCGGAGAGGGTTTGAGTGGGACCAATGCATACGTGGACAATGTGCGGACCCTGCAAACCTCCTCTTAGATTGTGCGCTGGATAGCTTGTAGCGTTTCAAGGGCCCCTGAGTTTGGTTAAGTGCCCGCCGGCCTAGATAGATACATAAATGTCAGTTTGAATGAAGTCAAGTGTAAACCGTATCAACGACGAGAAATTGAAGTGTAAATTTGGATGGTTTGAAGTGGAAACCTTAACATGCGAAAGTGTCTACCTCATTAGAAAAGCAAGCATCTACCGACGATGTATTCATTCGAGTATCAACGGACGTTAATCAGTTGTCAAACTCCAAATGTTTGGTCGGTAAGGGCATGATGAAGCTGGTGTTGGAGATGCCCTCTTAGTGATCTGGAGGTGGACTCCGCTGGTCATTGTGTTGGTGAAGGTCAAACTTTGCGCTCTGTGTCGCTCATGCAAGGAAAATTCACAATCTATTCATTTTCAATCATGTCAATACAACGAACAGTAGAAATAATAAAAATTACATCCAGGTCCGTAGACCACCTAGCGACGACTACAAATACTAAAGCGAGCCGAAGGCACGCCGTCATCATCGCCTCTCCCTCGCTGGGGCCGGACAAAACTTGTTGTAGTAGACAGTCGGGAAGTCGTCGTGCTAAGGCCCCATAAGACCAGCGCAGCAGAACAACAACCACCGCCGATGAAGAGTAGCGTAGATCGTAAGGATCCAAGCTGAAAAAGCACAAACGTAGACGAACTACGACCAGATCCGAGCAAATCCACCAAGGACGGATCCGCTGGAGACACACCTCCACACGCTCACCGACGATGGTAGACACACCACCAGAACGGGGGCTAGGCAGGGAGAACTTTATTCCATCTTCAGGGAGCCGTCATTGTCTCTCTTCCTGAGCAGGACACAAAACCTAACAAAACTTGAAGAAACATCTAAAAATAGAGCCCTCCCGTCAGTAAGGGCCGGGATCCACCGCGTCGCCATGGCCCTAAGGCCACCGGAGACGAGACGGACCGGCGGGGGGCCGGCCGGAGACAGAGAAACCCTAAGATTTTCTTGGGGAGGAGGCGTCTTTAGGAAGAGAAAGTTTATTCATGGGCGCATACGTACACTAATTCAAGAGATGACCACCACCTCTAAGCGAGATGTGCACAAATAAGTAGTACAGTAGATGGGATGCCGTAAAAGAGAGATCAGCACGCCAAGAGATAACAGCCTATCCACAGTAACCTGCTTGCCACACAAAACTGTCATCAGATTGTTTTTCAACTCTTGGCACAGAAAATGCATGATGATTGTTTATCAACTCTTGGCACAGAAAATGCATGGTGTTGGTGTTGGTTTCAGCCAACCAACCAAACAAAACCAAGCCAATATATAACAAAGAGGAACATAAGAACCCGCATGCTACAGTCGAGGAAGTTCGTATTCTATTATACATGTATCTTGCTCAACCTGATGATACAGTCAGGAGAGATCCCAATGACACAGCCCAAGGCAAGGCACCCCCTATTCCTAGTCCTGAAGATCCTGCTTCTCCACAGCGTTAGACTCCCCAGCGTTCCCCTGGACAGTCACTTGATTCTCGGCAGATTGCGCCTCCACATCTTGGGCACTGTTGGCTTGCTGCTGCGCTCCTCCACTGTTGACTCCCTAGCGTTCCCATGCGCATTCACTTGATCCTCGGCAGACGGCGCTTTGACATCTTGGGCACTGTTGACTTGCATTCTTTCCCCTGCGTGCTTGACCCGCGCTACATTATCTCAGATGCAGAAGCCTCACCCTCTCATCAAACCATGCCTGCCACACCTGCATTCTTTCCCGTGCACGCCTGACCCGCGCTCTCAAGTTTCTTTGCTCTCTTATTAACCGGTCAGCCACTGTTTCCAACTCCTGGTGCCTTGCAAACACTGGATCTTCCAAATCAAAGCGAATCAGGTATAACGCAAACTC